CCCGCACCGTACTGCCCAGGCCATGGCGTGCCACTGGCTCACCAGGAGGAGGGCAATGAGATGGGAACCTCCTCCAGGTTCAAGACCTTGATCAGCCCATTATGTGGAAAGTGCAGCTTAAATGGGCAACAGCACCAGGCCCAGCAACCAGTGCCAAAATTCCACTCAAGGGAAGCACCTCGTCACGGACAAACAAGGACTTGCTGGTGGGTGGCTGCTGTGACGTCAACGCCCGGCACCAAGCAGGACTGCAGCACCGAGGGCACTGCGCTTCCTGCTGCCTGCAGCCCAGCGCGCCTCGCCTCCTCCTGCAGCGTCCGCAGCAGGCCCGCGTGCATTCCAGAACCTCTTCAGGGCAAAGATCATTGAGCTGTTTGGCTAAATGCAGGCCTCATCCCAGAGCGCGCGGCACAAGAACCGCTACAGGGACCTCACAGCAAGACAGTCCCACGGAGAAGCCCTCCTGGAAGACCTGCGCACGCACACCCCCCCCCCCCCCCCCAGCACCAGCAGCGCAGCCGGCCTCAGTGGTCACCAGTCCCTGGGAGAGAGGTGTTGTGGGAAACCATGGCTTTGACCGCTTCTGGTGTTGTGCGCTTTGGCTTCACTCCGCGCCGGGCTTTACCAGGTGGGACTGTTGTGTAACGCAGCTTGAAACACCAGCAAGTCACGTTTGAAAAAGAAAGGAGGCTGGTGATGTCCGTTCCATCTAAATCAACCAAGAAACCCCGGGCCGGGGCAGGAAGGCCGAGGACGCGAGGGGCACCCGCTGGAACCCCTAAAGCCACTTAAGGTGAGGGCGAGGGGCCCAGTGCCCGTCTTCGAGAAAGGAAAGGGTGGGGCTGCGCTGGAAGTCCTTGTGCGCGGGGCCCAGGCATGCGGCGCCCATCGGGCCTTCACTGCAGTTATTTATTGCATTTCTCTGTGGGGGCAAATACCTTCCCTCCACACACTGAATATATCCAAGGAGATTCTTATTGTTTTCTCGAGTTTCATGAGTTAAGTCATCCCTTCACCCAGAGAAATGGTGGGCCTCTTAGAATGTGCACGTTCTCTCCAGGTAGTTATTTTGGGTTTTGTTTTCCCAGGGTCTTCAGGAGAGGGCCCTGAACACCTTATGCTGGCATCTCAGATTGCCTAAAACCTCAAAGATACTGTTCCAGTCTAACTGATGACGAGTTTCCAGCAGCCGGCATCATGTGCTGTCAGACTGTTTTCTAGGGGTGTCTGGGATACTTGTATGCCTGTGTGCGGGCACCATTTTAAACAGAAATTCTGACTCACTGTCCTGAAGATTTTGTTCTCATTTCCTCCGAAGTGACTGGTCTGCTCAGCCATGGTCCAGGGGAGCCTCCTCTCCTCCCATCATGGCAACCCCACGTTAAGGGGATTCCCCATGGAGAGACGTACATCTCCATTGGCTATATATAAGTGGTCATCCTTTATTACTTTCAGATGTTACAGGTACAGAAATTGGGTTTCCCTGTGGTTTGCAAAGAAGAAGAAACCCCAAGTTTCTAGCAAGGAGTGAGAGACTTAAAATTAACATGTACCCTCAGTGGCGCGAGCGAATGAACGCAGGGCATGCAGGTTGCTGGTCTACATGCTCCAGGCGGGCCCCATGTTTCCAGAACAAGCCCCAGAGCATCTGGTCCTCAGATCAGACACGCCCCTGAGTGCCACTCTGCTCTCGGGAGCTGCACTGACACAGCTCTTCCTGGAGCCCCTCACTGGCCCCGGGACTCGGCAAGGTCCTTTCCATGTTTTGGTTGTTCAAGTTGTTGGCCTTGGAGCTGGGCACTAGTTTTACAATCTGCTTTCACATTTCTTGCTTTCCAGTATGCTTCTGCAATAGGTGTGGTCATTTCCCTTCACTTCCTCCTATCACTTCTTACATTTGTCTTCCCAAAGTAGTCTGTCCCCATAACTAAGTTTCCTCAGAGGGTAAATTGTGTGTCTGGTGATTATTTTTAAATTTAGATCATGGACTTTTGGATTCTCTGTGTAGTTCCTGGTGCTTAATCAAACTTTGTATATGAAAAAAATGTGCATGTTCAGATGTTTTACCATCTCATTATTTTCAGCAATTAGTGAAAAACCCCACAACACTTCTGAGGGCTTCCCCTCCCGCCCTCTCTCCCTCTCTCCTTCCCTCCCTCCACGCCTGGTCATCCTTCAGTTCCTAAATCTCTGGCTCTTCCCTGCTCTCCAACAGATATAATTGACATTTTCTAGTAGCCATCTTAAAGAGCGTGAATAGAAACAGGTAAAGCTAACTTTAGTAATACATTTTACTTAATCCAATATATCCGTAATATTGAGAAAAGACCGAAGGTAGGGAATATAAAAGGAATCACTTTAACCATGCTGCTGAAATTGTTAACATTATGAAGATGGAGGCATGAGGAAGGACTCTATTCTTGTTCTACTTAAGTAGTCTGGGAACTTAAACTTTTTGAACTTTCCAGTCCTGAGTTGATGCCTGGACATACATCTGGACAGACACCAGACCGCCAGATAACCTCCGATTTCCCCCTCCAGGTAACCCTCTGATTACCCCCCAAAGGACCCACATATCCAGGTCACCTGACATCCTCCTGACATCTGTTATCCATCGATGTGACTAGGCCCCCTGGTGCCCATCCTCTAGAGCACCTGGCACCCATCATCCAGCCTGCCATCTGACTGACACCGTCCTGGACCACTCCTCGGGTTAAGAATGCAGGGCTGCCTATTCTCAAGAACGCACTTTTTACTATAGGAACTCCTAACTTTTTTTTTATTCTTCAGAACACTTCTGGGTTTTTGCCTAGCTGTATTTCCAGTGTGCAAACTCTAAGACCCTTAAATAAATCTATCATTTGTTTCTAGCCAAAGCCTCCAAAATTTTTTTGAGTTTGACAGTATTACTTATCATTTCAAAATGTAACCAACATAAGAAGTATTAATGAGATATTTTACATTTCTTTTTTGGCACTGTCACATCCCATTATAGCCACACTCTGAGTGCTCAATAGCCTCAGGTGACTGGTAGCTACCACCTGGACAGCTCAGGACCAGGATTTCCTTGCTCTGGCATCTTCCCATGGCTCCTTCTTTCTTTGGTAAGAATTCCATGATCGGAGAAACTAAGATGGCGGCAGAGATAAACACCGGGAAATTAACGCCGCACACAACAATTGATTAATACCTCAGAGAAACAATACGGACTTCACCCAGAACCACAGGAAGCCTGGCTGACTGTAAACTCTCCAACTAGAAGGAAGGAAAGGCACACCGGGTTAAGAATGCAGGGCTGCCTATTCTCAAGAACGCACTTTTTACTATAGGAACTCCTAACTTTTTTTTTATTCTTCAGAACACTTCTGGGTTTTTGCCTAGCTGTATTTCCAGTGTGCAAACTCTAAGACCCTTAAATAAATCTATCATTTGTTTCTAGCCAAAGCCTCCAAAATTTTTTTGAGTTTGACAGTATTACTTATCATTTCAAAATGTAACCAACATAAGAAGTATATTAATGAGATTTTACATTCCTTTTTTGGCACTGTCACATCCCATTATAGCCACACTCTGAGTGCTCAATAGCCTCAGGTGACTGGTAGCTACCACCTGGACAGCTCAGGACCAGGATTTCCTTGCTCTGGCATCTTCCCATGGCTCCTTCTTTCTTTGGTAAGAATTCCATGATCACCGAGCCCCACTCCCCCAGCACACAGCGTGTGCGCCTCACCTCTGCCCCACCTCCAAGTGCGGGCCCTGGGAGGGGAGGCCCCTATGCTCTCTGCTCTGAGAACCAGAAATGTCAGTCAGAAACGTCTGCCGAGCAGACACATGCCCCTCCCCACGACTCTCAATGCCTCCACAGCTTCTGTCATTTCCCTCTTGGCTCTAGGGCCTTTCTTACTGCTGATCTCCCACACTCCAGCCCCTTCCACAGGAATCTGACTTTTGCCTGGGGATGCCAGCCTGCAGATTCATCCTAGAAACTGTGACTTCTGAACAATCCACAACTGCTCTATTCACAAGAATTCTCCAACATGCAGCTGCAACATCAAACTGCCCAGGCACACCACATGGAAGGACCTGGGAGTGGGTAAGTGTGAAGCTCACCTCCTGTACCTGACTTAGAACTTTCTAACTGATGTGCCGCAAATGGGCACGTGACACTGTGAAGTGTTACCTATCATTTCAAAATGTAACCACCATAAGAATTATGAATGAGGTTATTTTACAATCTTTTTTCTGGCACTGTCACATCCCATTATAGCCACATAGAATGGGGGAGTGGGGCTCGGTGATCGTGGAATTCTTTTACCAAAGAAAGAAAGAGCCATGGGAAGATGCCGGGGCAAGGGAATCCTGGTCCTGTGCTCTCCGGGTGGTAGCCACCAGTTACCTGAGCTATAGCATGTGGCTGTAAGTAGAGAACCCTTTAAAACTTACAACAGCTAAAGTTCCGTTTCATTACTGTTAAATACTCTCTAAACTTCCCGATTCAGGAAAACAGAAATTACAAACACATAATTTCTAAAAAATGCAGTGAAAATTCCCAACAAGCCCTATGCCGATGGCCCGGCCCCAGCTGTCCCAGAGCCTGCGTGTCCCGACGCGTGTCCTCGGGGAGCACGGCCGCCCTTGCCGCAGCCACTGTTCCGCACAAGGTAAAGCCGGGAAGACTCAGCCAACCCACCCAGCAGCTGTCCCTGTGAGCAGGCTCACATGGTGAAGCAGCTAAAACAGCACAAACCAATTTGTTTCTAGTTTCCTCTTTCAAAAATCAAAGAATATGGCAAGAACAGGCATTTCAGAATACAAATCACTAAAATAAAATGATGCTCAACACCACGAAACAAGTATTTCTGGAGCGGTAAGTGACGAGGCAGCGTTTTGAGCCTCTCCTGCGGCAGTGAGGAGAGGAGTGAGGAGAGGAGCGGCAGCAACATCCCCATGGTGGGTGGCCTTTCCGGACGCAGGGTGGTGGGAGAGGCGGAGGTGCTTTCTTAGGAGGCTGATTTTTCTTAAAAAATTGATTGTCTTTGTTTTACCATCCAGCAGCCCCTGCAATCCAACCTGGCCTTGAACTAAAGCAAGGGCCATATGAATGAATATGACCAGAACAGCTCCACCGGCCTGCTCCGTGGACCTGAGTGAACTGGAAAACAGGACCACCTCCGGCCACTTCCACCAGTCAGAACTTCGTCATCTGGTACTGGTTTTTTTTTCCGCGCGCGTGTGTGTGTGTGTGTGTGTGTGTGTGTGTGTGTGTGTGAGAGAAACAACACACTTTACTGCCAACTGCTGGAGAATGATGATAAAATGAAGATGATGTGGATAGTTGGAAGGGTTTAAAGAGGCCCCAGGCCCTGGAGGGCTCCCTACATCTCCAACTACCCCCCTCCCATCAGCTCCACACACCACCAGGGGCAGCTTTCCAAGACAGACTGGACTTCAGTTTCAAAGTAGCAGAATAAAGACAATTCTGCCTGTTTAAATCTTAAAAACCATCCAAAACAAGGAAAACCAGAAACATACATCAAAATACAAATGACACCTAAACTTGGGGCCTGACCCTCAGAGTGTAGGGGTGTCTAGTGAAGCGTGGCCTCCCTGGCAGCCGCCAGGGGAGTATGAGTGGCCCACACGGGGACAATCTGGACCAACGCCCTGGAAGGACTCGGGAAGAGAGCGACAGGTCCTGGGGAGGCAGGGTGATGCAGGAAGCAAGACACTGGGAAGGGAAAAGGAGACTTCCCAGAGAAAGGCTCTGCTCCTTCCTCACGCCCACTGGCTCATTATCTAGAACAGTGATGGCGAACCTATAACACGCATGTCAGAGGTGACACGCGAACTCATTTTTTTGGTTGATTTTTCTTTGTTAAATGGCATTTAAATATATAAAATAAATATAAAAAATATAAGTCTTTGTTTTACTATGGTTGCAAATATCAAAAAATATCTATATGTGACATGGCACCAGAGTTAAGTTAGGGTTTTTCAAAATGCTGACACGCCGAGCTCAAAAGGTTCACCATCACTAATCTAGAAAAACAGAAACAAACTCTCCAGACCGGGCTTCAGACTCAAGACCAACAGACCCGCTGGTGTGAGGCCCGGGGAGGGCATGGGTGAGAGGCCCAGCTTGTGAAAAGCACTGACAAGGTCACAATAACATAAAACACAATATGGACACAGATCCAAACCCAATTACATTGTAAATACTGGGAGGTGGCAGAACAGGATAGGTGAGAGTTGTGGATGGTGAAAGAGCAAAGTCAGTGCCTTAAGCCCCAAATCGAAAAAGGTCATCAAGCAGAGATCTAATCATATATTATCTAACCGTATGGAAATTAACACTAAAAGAACTGAGTTTGGCCCTGACTGGTTTGGCTCAGTGGATAGAGCGTCGGCCTGCGGACTCAGGGGTCCCAGGTTCGATTCTGGTCAAGGGCATATACCTTGGTTGCGGGCATAAGCCCAGTGGGGAGTGTGCAGGAGGCAGCTGATCAATGTTTCTCTCTCATCGATGTTTCTAACTCTCTATCCCTCTCCCTTTCTCTCTGTAAAGAATCAATACAAAAACATATATTTAAAGAACTGAGTTTGCTCCTGGGGAGAGAGAAATAAGACAGAGGAGTTGGGGACTCTGCTTTTTATATAAATATCTGTAGAACTATTTGATCCCTGATTAAAATAAAAAACAAATCAACCAGCTCATTCAGCAAGGTGCAGGACAGTTATGTACGAGAGGATCTTGTTTTGAAAAACATAAGTTAGAAAGGACATAAAAATAAACAGATACGCTGGAATCAGCTTAAGCAGAAAGTCTGTGTCCGTGTAGTGTAGAAGGAAACACCAGTTGCACACTGGCCACCTCCAGGGGGCAGTGGAGGGCTGGGGGACTCTCATTTCTTTTAATTTTTTGAATTATATAAAGTAAAAAGTGGTGGGATTATGCATGTTTTATTTTTAAATAATTAACATTTTATGCATAGCATAAAACTATCTTAATGAGCAAAACTGCAAGTGTGCCTGTGTGCATGATGCTGTCCACGGGCAAAAGAACAGGAAGGGCTCACAGCTCCAGACTCACACACTAAGTGCTGGCTGCAGCTCTTACCACGTCCCGGGGAGAGGCATGCTTTCCTAGGACTCTCCGGAACCAACAAGGTAAACCATTTCCCTTTACAAAGTTAATAACGCTTAACAGAATCTGGGCACTTACTAAAGCGTGAATGTAATATAAAATGTACTTAAGAGACATTAAAAGTGCCTTAGTTTATATAAGTCTGTGAAAATTTTAGAAAAAGAAATAGAACAGTATGTTGGGAAATCTTCATTTTTAATTTTTAAAAAATTACGATTTTTAAAGCAAATTTGTCAACAGAATTTGTATTATTTTAACTGAACACTTGGTGGCAGCAAAGGCTGTAACAGCTCACTGGTCTGGAGCCAAGTGCTCATCAGCCAGCATGTCAGGCCAGGGAAGCCTCAGCTTCCTGGCCTCAGGCTGCAGACCTGAGGTTCATGATAGGGCCAAGGGCTGAGCCCTTTCTGGGTTGGTGGGCTCTCTCTGCTGCCACGGAGACCTCCATTCAGCAGCTGTGATGGAATCAACCTTTCCTGGCACCTGATGGATCTGCTACCCCACTGAAAATCTATTTTTCTCTGTTATCAATAGGCTGCATTGTTCTTGTCTCACTATCTTCCTCTCCCTACAGATTTAGTTCCAAGAAAATAACTTATTGATGTTGAAACATAGTACCTAAAGATAGTCTGTGAACAAAATTAGTATGGTAATTCAGAGAATGCTATGAATGATTCCAGTAAAATTACATTATTTCTGCCTCTAATCTCACTCAACATTTTAGTTGTTTCAAAAAATTCTATCATGATGCTCTGTTTATACAGTAATCCAAATTAAAAAAAAAAACCAGAAACTCAATACAACTAGCTTAGAGAATTACACTGTATCTTCCCAATAGCACAGGAAACTGTCATTCAAATCCCACTCTTAATCCGGTCCAGAGGCCCGTCACAGGCCATTCCAAAAGCTCTCACCAGTAGGGCCAGATGCTGGAATGGCAGAATTTTCCAATAGAAGAAACAAATATTTAGGTTATAATTCATGCAAGATTTCTCAAATAACTAACTATATTATTTTCTATTTGGTCTCTAATTTCTCCCACCCCAAATCTAATCCCTTGATTCATTAAAAATGAGATTTCAAATATGGCAAAAATATCGACAACAGGTGAATATGGACAAATAGTATGAGGGAGCTCTTTGCCCTATTCTTCTGTGGAATCCCGCTGAGCACCTGGCTCTGGCCTGCATCCAGGGTGGCTCACACGGGCCCAGGCCAACCAGGCGCTCCACCGATGTCTTCTGATCTTAACAATGTTTGGAAACTCAACACAACCCTATAGTTTGTTTGGATTTTCAACACTGACAAATTTTTTAAAAATTTAAGTACTTTTGTATCTGGAGGATTCTGGCAACAAAATTATTATGATTTTAAAAATAAAATTAATATGGCATCACTACTTACTCGATGAATGATACCGGCTGAATGAAGGTGTTTAATACCACAGAGCATCTGGTAAAGAAGATAGGACATTCTCTCATGGTCCAACTCCATATGAATAACCTGACATAAGTTAGCATCCATTAATTCCATAACTAAATACCTGAGGGGGAAAAGATTAGCCATGTTCACATGAAAAGCATCCAAAATTCCTTTGTGGCTATTAAACCAGAATTTTTACGAAACAGTAATAGCTTTCTATCTAACTCAATGTACTGGTTAAAGTAAAACACTACTTTGTTTTCTCTAAACATTTTATAAAGAATCTTGAAGCAAACATACAATGGACCTTTATAAAAGTTTTTTTCCAAAAAAACAACTAACGATATTTTTTTCAAGTTAAAAATAAAACAATTTCTATATCATAGTAAATAGAATCTCAAACATCCAAATTCTCCTATATCTTAAATTTTTGCTACAGAATCATTCTTACCAGTCTAGAAGCCATGCTGTTATTTCTCTCATCTTAAGAAAACTTGATCCCCAAAGATGTAAAAGCAATATAGTCAATAAATAATATTGTAACAACTACATAGGGTGCCAGGTGGGTACTAGACTTACCAGCGTCATTCCTCATAAGGTATATAAATGTCTAATTCTATGTTATACACCTGAAACTAACATAATATTGTGTGTCATCTGTAACTGGGAATAATTTTTTAATAAAAATAACTTCCCCCAGCATCGACTGCCCCGATCTTTCTTCCCTTTGTAAGCAAACTCCCCAAAAGGTGCCTACACGCACCATTTCCAATTCTTCTCCCACTTTGCTCAGGCTTCGGCCCTCATCTCTCTGCTGACACTGTCCTCCAGGCCCCTCTGACTTCCCTGTTGCTAAGTCCCGGCTGCCAGTGCCCGCCTCCTCCCCCAGCTTCTTACTTTTGGAGTGCTACTGCTCGGTCCTTGGCCTTCCTGTCTCTGCCACAGTCTTGGTGATCTTCTCCACCCTCTGGTCTCAAGGTTTTTAAATACCATCTACAGACCATCAATTACAAATTCACACCTTCAACTCAGACCTCTATCCAGGCTCATTCACCCAACTTCCCACTTCACAGTTCCCCTTGGGTATCCAACAGACAACTCGAAGTCATGTCCCAAAATCAGCTCCTGATCCCACGCTACCTCTGACATGTTCTCCCTGCAGCCTTCCGCATCTCAGGTGAGAGCACTTTCACCCTTCAGGTGATCAGGCCGAAGTCCAGGTGTCACCCTCCACTCCCTTGCTCTCGCACCACACATCTTCTCTAAGAGCAAACACTGTGGTGCTACCTTCAGGACAGTTTCAGCCCCGATCTCACCCCATCCCCTCATCATTCCTCTCTGGTCTAAGTGAAGCACCATGATCTCTCACCTGGACTGGTACAATCACCTCCCAACTGGTCTTCTGGGTCCCCACACCTTATGGTGGATTCTCAACCCAGAAACCGGTTATTCTTTTAAAATGAAAGTCAGGTAAGCTCACTCCTCTGTTGAAAGTCTTACTGAACTGCCTTAGAATAAAAGGAAATCCTTACAATAGACTTCCGCTCTCTGCTGCTTGAGCTCCAGCCACACTGGCCTCTGGCTGTTCTTGGACACACCATGCACACTCCCACTTCCACTCCTTTGTGCTGCCTGTTCCTTCCATTCAACTCAGTCTTCCCGCAGATACTTCAAGTCTAACCTTCTCACCCCTTCAAGCCTCTCTTCAAATGTCACCAATCCAGGGAGGTCTTTCTCCAACCCCAACCACCCCACGGAAAACTGCAACCTGACTCCTAACCCCCAGCACTCCAGACCCCACACCCAGGTCCACTTCTTCCACAGCACTTGCCTCGTCCTAATGAATGACATCATCTCCTTATTTCTTACATTGATTATCTCTCTTCTAGGCTTTCCTGCAAGCTCTAGGAAGGAGGATGCTCGCCAGCAATTCTTAAGTAATAGAAGGGATGTTTGTTTTGGTCACTAAGGTACGCCAAGTCCAAGAGAGTGCTGAGCACAGGGCTAGCCATCACGTATTTGTTGAATGAATGAATACAATACATTTAGGATAAAGTTGGACATTATATCTCAATAAATTGATAAATTAATATTTCATTTCATTGTTAGTAAGAGAATTCTATTTCAGATTTTGGGAACACACAATATCTAATGACTTAACCATTTCAAATAATAATTGTAAACACCTGAACCTTATAATCCTGGCTTTCAGGGGACTGTAGAAAATGTTTTCTATTTCAGTAAAGCAAATTACTGGCATTAATGATCACTGTCTGCTCTGAAGAATTATTTCCAGTCATTTCTTATCTGTTACAGAGATGATAATTATCTAAGTATAAAAATAGTTGAATATTATTATCCATTTTCTAATATTTCTCTTCCACAGAGAAAAGTGGCTAAGATATCATTAAAAATGTATTGTCATCCTAAGTAAAAAAAAAATACCTGTTACTTTCCTAAGTAAAAAACAAAACAGTTACTTTCTTTTCTAAATATTCAGTTGTTGATGCATAGTACATTATTGAATAAAAATGATACTTACACATCTTGAAATTCTTCTAGAGTTTTTTGTGGTGTAAACACATTTAACAAACTAATTATCTGAAAAGAGAAAATTATTTGAACCTCAGAATTACAGATGACTCTAAAAATTAAGTTTAACATTAACATATCAAAAATGGGGGGAAAATCACAGCAGAGCTCAGTATTTATTATTGTTATTGTTTTTACCAAAAACATATTACATGGTATTTGAAAAAAGTTAAATGATTAGGATTCTTACCTTGAAAATAAGATGTACTTTTCATAATGTCACTTTTGTGTGTTCCTTGTAATTTATTATTAAAGAATTCTAACATTTAATGTCTTTCTAACTCTGAACATAAAAAAGTAGAAATGGGGGAAAAAACCCACACTAAATAAAGCAATATGTTAACTCTGAAAACTTAAATTTTATGTACAAATTTCTAAAAAAGTTTTAAAATATGAAGGCTAAGCTTGCATTTTTGGTATGATAAAGATGAAACGCCTCATAGCATTATCTATTTATTTAAAGAGAGTTCTAGAATGGACCCCACTATAGGCTTTGGTCTTGCAGTCTAAGGCTGCTTGAGCATCGAACACACATCCTCAATCATTTCAAATGACTGAGGGAAAGAGAAATGATTCAGTATATAGATAGAACTGGGGTGGCTGGCTAGCCAAGGAAAAAGTAAAACTGGATCAACACTTCAATCTTTATTTATATCAAGATAAACTTGGAATGGAACAAATATTTAAATCTAAAACATGAAACCATAAAACATTAAAATATGGATAAACATTTATATAATCCTGGTGTAGAAAAGCCTTTCTAAGCATGACAGAAAACCGAGGAGATTTGATTCCATTTAAACCAAACCCCAAATCAACCCAACAAAAATAAAACCAGTGGAAACAACCTAAATAAGGCCAAGGGGAAAAGAAGTGAGGCTGATAGCTCTAACACACAAAAGATCTTTTGTAAATGCATAAGGAAGAGACCAATAGTTCAAGAGAAAAATAGACCACGGCCATAGAATACAAATTCTCAAGAAATAAAAATAAATGGCTAATAGAGATATGGAAAGAAATTCAACCTCACAAATAGTATTTCATGTGTCATCTGTCAGACTGGTAAAGCAAAACATAGGCTCAACAGCAGGGGTCCTCAAACTACGGCCCGCGGGCCACATGCAAATGCAAATATTGTCTTTGTTCCCGTTTTGTTTTTTTACTTCAAAATAAGATATGTGCAGTGTGCATAGGAATTTGTTCATAGTTTTTTTTAAACTATAGTCCGGCCCTCCAACCGTCTGAGGAACAAAGTTTGAGGACCCCTGCTCAACAGTATGTAGTGCAGGGGAATTCTGAAACAGAGGCATCCTCAGATACTCTTAATGAAAGCATAAAACTGACAGTCTTCCTTGAGGTCAATTTGTCAGAATGTATTAAAGCCAGAAGTGTGCATACTCTTTGACCCAACAATCTTGGCCAAAAAGTCAGCTGGACAATGTGTACAGATGCATGTAGAAGGATGTTCACTGCAGTACTGTTTATAATAGGGAAAAACTGGAGACCACCTAAATATTCAATAATAGGTGACTGGTCAAATAAATTACTGTGCATCTGTACTATGCAGCTATTTTAAAAATGGATTATATCCATGTTCCTAATGTGTATGAGACCTAGCAACATTCCATGAGGGCAAAAGCAGGATGCATAACACAGCTGATCTTGTTTAAGTGTGTGTATGCTCACAAATGCATGAGGGTGCTCACCAAAATGTCAATGACAGTGATCTGTGGGTGGTGATCAAAGATTTTTGCTTTCTTGTTTACACTGTTTGAATTTTAAAAAATAATAACCATACTTTTTTATAACCTGAAAACAATTTTTTAAAATAAATAAGTAAAATAAAGCATGTATCGAAAAAATTAAAAACAAACTCAAAGCACAGACTCAGAAGAAAAGCTATCTTAGCTGTGCATGCCAGAAAGACCCAGCATACATGTTAAAGCAAAGGCAGCCATAGAGAGTTAAGTGTCACCTTAACCACCACCTCCTAGTCCTAACAAAAAGAGGTCACATGGGGGCAGCTCCCAAGGCTCTTCCAGACTTAACATTTGATGGTTTTCTAACGTGGTAAGGTTATAAAAGAATGCTCAGACACCAGTAATGGAATATAAACATTTTCTAGAGATACCTTTTCTCCTTAAAATTTATAGTGCTTTGATTTCTGTGGCGATGCCTAGCACAGCTATCATAAATATAACATCATCTAATAACATTTATTTAAAACTGAAATGTCTGTATTATAAGGTAAAAAGTTACTTATAGAATGAAGTTTTTCTTAAAAATATTTAGCTGTTTCTCAATTTGCTGGGTGTGTACTGATACCACCTTATAGAGCAGGGTTAACTGACATTCCTATCCCTGCTTAGTGATCGAAGTTCCTATGGACCAGGATGCCTCTTGCTGATTTCAATTTCCCAAATGTTGAGAAGAAGTTTATCAATAAAATATAACCATTTAAATAGTTATTTTAATCATTAGGTTACCCTAGGTCTGAACTCAGTGCAACCCACAAGATTATCATGTCACTGACAACGTTCAAATATACTGAGGAAACAGAGACATAACTCACATTTTTATGATTGACACATTTCAGGAGCACGAGTTCACGATAAGCTCTCTTTGCGTGGGTTTGATTTTGAAAAGGCCGGCTTAGTTTCTTGACTGCAACATTTATCCCAAGAACTGTATCAAAAGCAGCACTAAAATTAGGAAATAGAATAAGTGCTATAATAAGCAACCCATTAGAGTGATTTTGGAAAATATGCAGTGCAGAATGTACAAAGTACAATCCTTTTAAATGAGTAACAAACAAGGGAAAACCTTCCTGCTTGTTTCCACCTGAGGTACTTGTACCCCTGCAGAGCCAGGGGAGCTGGCTGAGGTGCAGGATGGACGGACTCCTCTGCAGAGGTGCGGACACAGCCACTGCAGGTAGGATGGGGTTTAGCAATCCCGGACATGTTGACTTATTATATTAGTTGAGATTATTATATCCAGAACGAAGTAATTTAATATAGAGCATGTAACACAGGTGAAGAAATGAAATCTTCAGTTTAAATATGCCAGTAAGTTGGGGGAAAAGTCATTGGTTATCACAGGATAAAATGTAAGTATATTCGGAGTAACACAGAGGAGGAAATAGTTGAGCTCATGGAAGAATACAATAAATCTAATTTTTGATTGTGTTTTTCCCAGACAAAAGAATCTAAAAAGAAAACAGAAGCCAAAATCTCAGCTCATGGTAAATCCCCAAGATACAAAACCCTAATGTAAACAATTGCGATGTATAAAATTCCACTAGAAATATCACATCATACTAGGGAATAATAGAATCTTCCAGAGCCTGTGTTTCCAGCATCTCAAGTTCCTAGTTGAGATTTATGGTTCATTTTCTTCCAGAAAATAGACAGAAAAAACTGAGTAGCCTGGCTGCACATTTTGAACTAATTTCAAACAAGTTCAAATAGTACCATTCATGTTATTATCCTTCGGCCTCCCATCAGGGGCTCATCGCTGCTAAAGACCACCTGGAAACCCAGGCACTACTGAAAACACTGTTTCTGTTCCTTTATCCTATTCAGTTTAAAACATGGCTTACATTCATTCACTCCTACGAATAATGTTTTCTGCCAAACAACCCTAACTTAATTCAACCTGTTTTTAAATTGAAGGCTGTCGATGACAGCATTTGATTAAGAATGATTAGAATCTTCATGTCACTTTGGTATTCTTCTTTTAAATCTAATTCTGTTCACATTATGTGTACATGTTTACACATATGTAAAATCACATGTTCATATGTAAATGCACTATTCATATAAATTATAAAATGTTAGAGAAATCTATTTGTGAAGTGAATCATTAGTTAATGTACTACTACATACATGTGTATTTGTACCTATGTATATTTCTGTCTAGGAATGTGAAAAACAAACACATCTTTTTTGGCCTCAACAGTTTTTGTCCAAAATGAGCCAAATAAACCAATTCTGAGCATCTCAGCAGACACATACTTCCCCACTCGTGGTTCCCACTCTAGGAGTGACTACCTTCCTGGTTTTACTTCTTGCAATTATGTACTTTTCAATTCCAAAGAACATACTTTTATTACTATTTCCTCATTTATCAACTTTAGAAATTATCTATTCACTCCCCATTATAAAAACTGAGAATTTTGCCCTGGCCGGGTTGGCTCAGCGGATAGAGTGTCAGCCTGCGGACTGAAGGGTCCCAGGTTCGATTCCGGCCAAGGGCACTTGCCTGGGTTGCGGGCTCGATCCCCAGTGGGGGGGTGCAGGAGGCAGCTGATCAATGGTTCTCTCTCATCATTGATATATCTCTCTCTCTCCCCTTCTCCCTTCCTCTCTGAAATCAATAAAGAAATATATTTAAAAAATACAAAAAACTGAGAATTTAGTCACTTATTGGAAACTTCAACCCCTCCCAGTTTTTTGCTCTCATGTTAACTTTCCCTTGATTACCCATGTAACTTTAAATAACATGTCCACACTTCTGCTCCATCAACTTCCGAAGGCCCCTCTTCACTCCCAGTATGTAAAATGAGATGATTATATTCGTGTCCTTTTCCCTGCAGCTCTCTCCTCTCTTCCCTCCAAACGTCTGTCTTACGCGGCAAAGTCTGATAACACATCTCTGATTTCTACAACTAAGTCTTCTGTGTTTCTTACGTGGGCTGTGACTAGAAGTTGAAAATCAAGCCAGAGTATATGCATGTAAGTATTACTGACTGCAGAGCTGGGATTACGTTTCTTTTGTAAAGAGCACATGACTTGCTGCTGGTCATAAAAGGGGGAGACTGTTTCCAGCATCGAGGTCAAATGGTCTCTTTTCTTATATTTCATCAATTGCTCAAACATCATGTACTTTTAAACGTGTTTTATACTTAGATCATGAACTTTTCTACTGTAAGTTTCTAACACATGTGTTTTTTTCCTTATTAAGAAAGAAAAACATACCTTTTATAGCCTATTACCAGTACTTCCTACCTTATTACTCACATTATCTGTTGTTTGGAATCTATTCCATTCTTTCTGAAGACATTTTCTTGGAGTTTCTTTCAAGGTCTGCTGCACAGCTGTCCCCTGGGACTTCTCAATGACCTCCACTGCTTCTTGTGTTACACGTGTGTTCTCTTCCTTAGAGAACATCCTCAAGAAATTTCCCCCAGGAAACGTGTATGGGAGATAGTCTTCCTCTGCCCTTATCCTTGATAGCTTGTCTTCTAAAACCAAAATCAATTTTCTCTGGGAACTCCCCTGATTTCCAACGTTAAATGCTGTTGGAGACAAGATTTATGCCTGTCTGATATCATTCCTTTGCTTCCTTTTTTGTTCCTCAACTCAATGATTTATCACAAAGAGGATGTTTTGTCAGCATTCCTAAAGCCCCCACACCTCCTAATCGCTGTCCCTCCTGCCCCCCTAACTGCTTTGACTTTTATGATCATCACTTCTTGCTTTTACCAGTTCAACATGCGTCTCTGAGCCCCACCCCATGGTTTATTTCCGCCTGGATTTTGAAATCATCTGTCTGACTTCTTTCACTCAACGTTCTATTTGTGAGATTCATCCATTGCTGCTTTGCACAGCTATAATTCATTCTGTGTCATTGCTGTATATCCCCTTACATGACTACATGACATACTGCTGCTGTTTTCAGTTTGCCAGGAATTACAAAAAACAGTCATAAACACTTCATACATGGCTCTGGGCCCCTAGGCATGCATTTCTGATGAGTAGACAGCTAACAGTGGGACTGCATATATTTTATTTTAGTAGATAACACCAAGCTATTTTTCAAAGTGGTTCGTTCTACCAGTGTCTAGACATTTCATTATTATTTTTCTGTATATTGATCCTGTGTCCTACATGGAGCTAATCCCAAGAGCTCTTTAGAAGCAGTTTGTTCTGGTTGGTGAGAAGAGGGTCAGAAAGATTTGACTCTTGAGAAGGACTAGATGTGACATTGCTACCTTTAAGATGGTCACGTGAGAAGGAATGTGGGGGTCTCTAGGAGCAGAGGGGCCCCTGGCTGACAGACAGCAAGGGAATGGGGGCCTTAGGCCTGCAGCTGCCACAAACTGGGTTCTGCCAATAACCCGAAAGTGCCTGGAAACAGACCCTTCCCCAGAGCCTGCAGATTACAGCCCAGGCCAGCCGACATGTTGTTCAGCTGTGTGATGCTGAGCAGAGAACCTGGGCAAGCCCATACAGATTTCTGATCTATAGACTTATGAGATTATCAATGGGTGTTGTTTTAAACCACAAGTTCGTGGTAATTTGTTATGTAGCAATAGAAAACTAATACATCTTCTCTTATGTACTTTTCTACCCTTTTCTCTCTCCAGGCTTTACTCTATTTTTTTCTCACCTACCTTCCAGACCACTAATTCTCTCTTCCATTATGTCTAATATGCTTTTAAGCCTAACCATTAACTTCATAATTCGATTACTATATCTTACAGTTCTAGAATTTCTATTAAGTTTTTTTAAGTTTTCAGTTTCCCACCAAAATTTTTTCATCTTACCTTTTACCATCCTGAACATATCATCATTGCTATTTTAAAGTTTGGATCCAATAACGCCAGGACC